ATTTCATGATTGTTATTTGGTGTTTATCTTTAATAGCAATGCTGTATTTTGATATTTAATTCTGTACATGAACTGATAATTATTGTACATGGTATCTTCACATTTATTAGTCGATCAATATCACTAACACTTCCATAAACAAAGCATTGCTACTTTTCACTACTTATGTGATTCTTTAAATAGAACGCATTTCTACAGAGAAAACGTCTTTGAATGAGTAGTACAATAGTTGCAATACGATAGTTGCAGTTACATTAGAATTTTCTTAGCTGTTGTTCTAAGGATAACTACTAAAAGAAGGTTTGGCTGAGATATTTGCTTTTGTTTTCACTTCACTGTTTCCGTTAGCATTTTGAATTAGTGACAGAATAGCAGACTGGATTTGTGTATTTCAAATATCTTTTTGGTCAGAAGAGTAGATGATTTGAGTTAGTTAAATTCACTTGACTTACTTTAAGTTTGTAGAACTTGAATTGAACCCTGTATTTCTTGTCTGCGAGCAAGATTGGCTCAAATATCGTTTATTTTCTTTCAAAATATGAATCGACACAATATACAGTTGAATAATCGAAACAGTGGAGGAATGACTGGTACTATTGCGTAGGAGGATGAAAAAACTGCCAGAGATCGTTTCTTTTTTACTAATTAGAGAAGATTTTAAAGATGTAGGAAGTGGGCTTAGCTTAGAGGATTAACATTTACAATGAAGACAGATGTACATTTACTATTTGAGGTTTAAATGAAGAATTCATTGTTTCAAAAAGAATGAAGTATAGCAAAGGAATAACGAATTGGTTTATAGTGATGAATCATTAGCATTATTCTAAATGTGTGTAGTAAATATTTTTGCGGTTTTTGGTAGCATTTCGAACTTAAATTATTTTTTCCTTTTAGAATAATGAAAATTATGTATGGAGTTGAAAATGATATTTGATAAATTTTATTTCATAGATAAAAACAAGAAAAAATAAAACAATTATCAAATGAATAGAAAAAGGTTAAAAATTGAAAAAAGAAAAAAAAATGGTTTGATAAAATATGATTTTCTTACAATTGTAAGGAATCGATTATGTCATCAATTCAAAAAAAGAAGGGCTAAGAACTTAAAAGGAAAAGTAACTATTAAACATAGTCACAGTCGAAGAGAAGATTTATCATTTCTTTAAAAAAAAATATTCTATAAATAATTCAGAAAGAATGAAAATAGGAAATGAAATTTTAATAGTTTGAAATTAATATTTGTAACAACGAAAACTTTCCTCATTCATTTTCTTATTCAATTTTTTTTTTTCAATTTGTTAATTTATCATTTTTTCATTATACAATTTTTAACAGTTCATTGTAAACGAATTGTGTTTTTGTTTGTGCATGAGTGTAAATTATCGAAATAGTTGTGATAATTTACCATTTTTTTCCAAAAAGAATAATATATTTACCTTTTTTTACTTCCTGATTATTTAAAGAATGCAAAGTTACAAGAAAGAAATAGTTTAATTAATGATAAATAATTTGAAAAAATAAATAATCAAAATTCATTTGTAAATGAAGTTTTATTTTAGTCAGAAATGAATTAATTCTAAATGAAATATCATCAGCTGAAGTGCTAGTAAATAAGACCACTGAAATGATTGTCAAAATTAGCTGTAAAATAACTTGATAATTATTATTGTAAAAACTGACCAATCAAAACGGTTTCATAGTAGCAGCTGATAATCTTTTGACAATCAAAGTATTGATAACAGACTGAAAGGTAAAAATTATTAAACCCATTTAACACTAATTTGAATAAACGTTTTTGTGTCTCGTAATTGAAAGCTGCCAAGATAACTTTTTAACATTACGTGGAGTACAACTGTATAATCAGTTGTAGTTACGCTAAGTTGATTTATATTGAATTATTCTGAGATTTTTAATATCATAATATAATAAAATCAGAATGTTTTTTTTTCTAAACTTTTATTGAGAATTATTTTACATCAGGCTATTAGTTCTTATTGCAGATTCAAAGACTGCTATCAAATTTATTGCTTGTGTAGAATCCTGCTAATAATAAATTGCATAAGCTTAAGTTTAATGGTTTATTGATATTTCAGCTATGTGTAAAGTAAAATTTGAAAAAAAAAATCAATAAAATATCGGTAAGATGATTATTACACGTATAATTTTATGGTTACATCAGCAACAATACATGGTTAATTTGTTAAATATTTGAAATTGGTCTTTGATAAGATCAAGTGACAATATGTTAGCTAAGAGAAATGATTTGATAATTAATTTCATGAGCTTGGTAAAGGTGAATCTCCAGTAGGAGATGTTACAGGTCAAATAATTATAGTAAAATAGGCTATAATATATTTGAAAGGGTGATGAAATGAAATAGTGGACAAGTAAAGCAATATGTTTTTGTAGCAAAATGATGATCAAATGTAGTCAGTTGAAAATGATGAGTTATCATTGATAAGCATTTATTTTAATGTTTTATTCATGCAATTATGTTATTTCATATCAGCAATATATAACCTTTAGATATTTATATCAGTGAGGATCAATTTGCTAGGAATAAGTTAGATAATTAAAGCTAATATTCAATATTGAAATGTCTTCTAAGAATCTGGAAAGGTCTGTTCTCGAAATTATTACATTTTCAAATTAAATATTCAAAGCTTAACAGGAAAAATTTATAAATTGTTTTCATTCACGCTATTTCCTAACATTGCATTCTATAAATTACCTCTTTCAACAATTTATTTTCATTGTTTTTAAATTGTAAAAATAGAAAATTTAAAAGGGAATAAATGATTCAGAAAATTTTCGTCTTATAAATGTATACTCTTATCACCCATGTATATTGCTTGTCATTCAACTCTCTCTTATCACTCACCAATTTCATCAGAATATTTTGAGCAAGAGATACGCTCGTTTTAATGGTATTTTCCAACTAATTCTTGCTTTTTTAATTAAAACTGTGGCCAAATGAATTTGATCACAATATTTTCAAGCAAAAGCACTAAAACTTTACTCTCAGTCATTTCAAACATAAAAGAAAATGAGAACCACTCAGAAAGGGAATATCCCAAATAGGTAAAGTCTAGAAATTAGGCCTCAGGTTTGCATGAAAATTGTATTCTGAACTTTTATTACTGCTAGGACTTGGGACTCAGATTTTCGTTATGGGCACGGTTGTTCTGGTACATTTGTTTGTAGTTGTTCTTTAATATTTGGTTTGGTGTTATTTGCTAAGTAGTAAGTATTGAGAATTTTAGAGTGAATTGACGTTTGTTTACCAGAAATGTTATTGTTGCGGACAGGAAGATTTAACTTTAGCCGCTGTTATGCAGCAGGTGCAGAATTCTTAAAAAATGTTCCTCTGACAAAACGAGATGGTGAAATTGTCAAAGTGGATGATCTGAAAAATAAGGTTTGTTATTGGATCTTTAATAAAATTTTGTCTTAATTACATGTTGGGAAAGCAACGATTAATTTGAGCTGTCATGACAAATCTAATTCGATTCTGCAATTATCTTGCCTTGTAATTTTTATTAAATTCCAGGCGATTATATTATATTTCTCATCTGGTTGGTGTGGTCACTGCCGTCTATTCACTCCCAAGTTAAAAGTAATTGTTCCCATATTTTCTTGAATGTTCCCTTGAAGTTCGGACGTACAGTTTTCGTTGTTTGTCACTGTATGGATTAATGTTTGAGATATTTTTAAACTTTATTTTTCTGACATTATACAGTAACAGTAGTTCTGGTTTTTTTAGAAATGGTACGACGAAGCTGCAAAACACGAAAATATTGAATTAGTTTGGGTTTCTCGTGATCGCGAAGCGAAGCACCAGATAGATTATTATAACAAAGCACTTCCCAATGTGCCGTACATCCCATTTGGTGACAGACATATTTTGTAAGTCTTGCTTACTTCTTTCTACGTTTTCTTACTATTTAAAAGTTGTGAGATATAACATTAACAGTGCGTGGAATGGTTTGTTTCACTAATTAATAGTTATTGAATTAGCACGTTTCTTGTAATATGTTATGACTCATGGTAAGCCAGCAGGACTTCTGAAGTAACTACGATCATATGTGCAAAATCAAGCTGTGTTTTTTTACAGGGAATTTCTGACAAAATATGATGTGAAAACGATACCTGCTGCTAGACTAGTAAATAACAATGGTGAAGTAATCGACCAAGAAGTCAGAAATAAAGTTCAAGTACATTACTGTTTTAACTCCTTTCGGATAAGTTCAAGTCAAATGTTGTTTTTTCTGATTAAAGAACAAAACATTTTTCATAATGCGAATTTTTCTATCAGGATGAGGGTCAAGTGGACGCCAGAAAGCTAGCGAAGGAATTTCGAAGTCGTGTATAACTGCTGCATTGACTGTTCTTCACTTCAATGTTAGACATTTTCTTAGTTTATATTAAATATCTTTTGGCTCACTTGCTTTTATATAACAATGCTTTTTTTCAACTATGTATTTAAACTGTTCTGTGCCTGGCGTTCGATATGTATGTATACATAATTAAAGATTATTCATGATAAAATATATGCACTTATTTGATTAATTTTGTCGATGATATACTACTAATGGTATAGTAGTTCGTAATTTTGTTGAAAATTACTCTGCTTTTAATGCTTTCTTTGCTCATTATCCGTAGGATATTCAGGTATGACCTCAGTAATGTATTTTATCGACTTGTTTGAATAAAGAAATTCGAAGAATTAAGATTCATGTTGAGTCACCAGTTCATTGCATAGTAATATAATGAAGAACTAGCCATCCTGATTCTAGCAATTCATTATGCCGTATCTGTATGAAACACTGCAGCGAATCTTCGAGGATTTTTTCTACTGTAATTTGTCAAGAAAGAAAAAAGTTTACTGCTTCAGTGCATGGAGTAATATATCATTTAATTGAGACCTTTCAGTGAAATATTAAATTCTTCCGTTGTACTTTACAGTGAAATCTTTTGAAAATAAATTTCATTTTCTCTTTTCATTTGTTCATGTTTGAACTGGAAAGATAGCTTTCAAGCACTATTACAGCGTCAGTTCGACCCATTATTCGGACAGTTTGCAGAAGATCCAGCACTGCCCGCTGTGAGCCGAATTCCACAGCTTCCCACAGGTTCAGAATTAGTGATGTTGGTGAAAGACCTGGTCGGGTTGCAAAATACTGAAACGTTATTACTGCAATTATTTACATAATTCTTGTGAGTTATTGTGAATTCCGTTGGATTAGTCTACTTGACGACGATCCTTTATCCTTTTAAACAAAGATTGGACAATGTCATTACCTGAATATACCTATGGAGATTTAATTTTTTAGCTAGCCCTCTCCAGTCCTTTGTTGGATCAGTAGGGACATCGAAAAGTTCTGCTAGTCTTCGTCTTGTTACATAATCCAGTAAAAAACCACACGAAAGTATTCCATCTTCTTCCACTTCACTATCGTCCTGAAATGGATCACATTATTCGGAAAATAGGTTTTAAGCTGATGAATTGATTTCGTGGATGAGAATAATGGGTCCAGATGATCATGCATTTTGCAGGCGCTTTTTCCTATACTTCGAAGTATTGACATATTACTTACGAATGGTTGCTGCATGTCGAAGTATAGTACTTCTCTTGCATCAGCATTACCCTTCTGGTAGACAACAATTCGACCGGTAATTGTTTCTAACAAATCTTCTGGAACATCAGTTTTCAGACTGCAGTGCAAACCGTTTTGCATACACCATAAATGATGGCTAGACGGTATCTCCTGTAACGTATTTGCAAACATTCATTTGAGAGCTTTGGATTTGTATAAAATTTACACTTTTTTAAAAATTGTAAAATGGAATGAAGCTTAGTAATATCCTTAGTAATAATTGATTGACGCACCAGATACTGTGCTTCGGGTTTTTTAGTAAGTCCTGTCGACACTTCCTCAAGACATACACATAAGGCACCCTTCTCACGCATCAGGAAATTCTCGGATTCAGCCAGCAAAGCACCAGTATTTTCTTCTTGGCATAGGATATTCTGAATAGCAATCCCAGTTTCAGGTACACAATATACTCTGATGGAAGTATCATTGGAAATACGATGCAAGGGGCCGAACGCAGCTAAGTGCATCCGTTTCATGGTGACTATCGTCGATCGACGTGGCTTACCCACCAATAGTAACTTGCAGAATCGTTCTATCATTATATGACACCTATAAAAGAAAAGGACTGAATTTCTACTGTTAATTTTCTTATCTGTTGCACTAATTACTGAATTTATCCAATAATTCCCATCAGGATACTAACTCTTACTCATTAATAAAATAACTGGCACCTTGTCAAATCCATTTGACAATAGAGGGGTGTATTTATATCTTCATCACCAATTTGTGCTACCATTTCCCAGTTGTTGCTTTGATTGTTTTTTGCATAAATCATGAAAATCCAGTTATCTTTTGGAAAAATATTGGCGCAATGTTTAAATGTCACAATAAATGGCCTATGTATGACGACATCATTCTCATTCTCATCACATAAGCCTATCATCACCACAGCACTTAGCACCGTGTTACCTTCTGAAAATAATTCTGAAGATTTAAAAGGTGAATTTCAAATAAACTTTATTCTTGCGATTTCAAACAAATTTGTATTGAGAGTAAAAGCTGGAGTTACCCAATAGTTTGGGTGAATCGTTGAAATCATCGGAGACAGCAAGGAATACCATGTGATTCGTCTGGAATGCACCCTCCGGTATTAGCAGAGCAACACCACTTCGTTTGAGCTGAGAGGGAAAAAAAACAATGACTTCATTACTATCTTGAATTTTTCAAATTAAAGTATTAATTCACATACATTCAGCTACTCCTTTATATATAATGGAACTTGAATTAATGGTAGTTGCAGGTTTTCCATAGATTGATTTTTTTTATGACAAGTTTCTTTAGTTATTTCCAAAAAAAAGTCCACTTCAGCCTTTGGTCTAATTTTTGAAATGGGAAGTGAATCAGTATTATGCTTAGTAATGCTAGAACTGTAATGTTGCTCTTTAAAGTGAACTATTAGAAATTTTTAAGTGTTCAATTATTCTGAAAAAAAAAAAAAGTACCAATAATCTTCCTCCCATACTATCCACATAAGCAGGAAGGACAATATGAGGTTGTTTATTGAGCTCGAAGGACCCGTACTGATCATTAACATCACCTACACAATCATACAATGTTGCATAATTTTCGTCTGAAGTTCGTGAATTTGTTCGCGCTATTGTAATTTTACCATTCGATGAATTTGATGATGATTCCGTAATTAATGCCACACGTGATCCTTTAAATGTAAGATGTATTTTAAAGAAAAAAACGAATTAAAACATTAAACTCAAAAAAAAGAGAAATCTTTGACGCGACCAAAATCTCTTCTAATCATCAACCTGTAATTTTTCTTGTTGATGAATAGCCACTGCTATTAGCAGATCTGAGCGTTAATGACGGTGGTCTTATAAGAGGATGAGTTGGTGAAGCAGTTGTTGTCAACGTATAAAATTCACTACCACCTTTTGTCATTGATTTAAGTGAATCACTTGGATCACCAAGTAGTCGTTGTTGTTGTTGCAATAATACAGTACGTACATGTCCTGCAATTATATGTTAAAAAAACATTTTTTTTTCTTTCAAGCATAAAAATTACTTAAGATTTGAAAATCATTCATAATATATAATGAATGTAAATTACTTCAACTTTTTCAATAAACATTTAATGGAATATTTTTAATAATAATGAAAAATAATAATATTCAATAATAACTAATTATTGTTCAATTAATTCAAAAAAAAAAAAAAAAAAGAAAAAAGAAGAAAACTAGCCACTGTTCTCAACGAAATAAAAGCCATCCTTTTCAGCATCAGTACAACGTCGTCGACATCGATATAGCAATACTGATATCAAAATAAGAATGATAAGTAAAAGAATGAGCACACTGAACAGTCCAGCATACATTGCAATTTGCGCTTCTAAATTATATCCAATGTAGGTTGGCGCTGATCGTTGTGCTACTTCTGCAGTACAATAACCTTCGCTTTGACTACAATTCCTGGTATCTAAATCACGTCCACTACATAACTGTCCACCACTAGTTGGTTGAGGTGAATTACAAGAACGAGTACGAAATTTTTGGCAATTTTCACTACACTGTGACCATGATGACCATTCTGACCTATAAAATATATGCTATTTGTTTAAAAAAAAAAAAAAAAAATATAAAATAAAAAAATTAAAAGACTAAAAACAAAATTTCAAAAAAAAAACATGTATATATTCGATTTTTCCCTTAACACATCCCTTTTCTTTATTCTCAATAATACATTTATTTATTTTTCTAATTTTTTTTTTTTTAAAAACCAACCAATAACCATCTAAATGACAATCCAAAGAACAATCACTGGTTTGTTCCGGATCACCTAAGCAATCAGATCCACCGTTCATTGGTGCAGGATTATTACAAGTTCTTCTGCGTACCAATTTTGGCCAAATATCATCAAGTTTAGTATGTACTGTACCGGAACGTCTCCTTGTTATTTCTTGTTTTAATTGGGCACAATCAACTTTACAATTACCATTCCATGCAGACCATTCTGCCCATTCACCATTTACTGAAATAATTCCTAACTGATTAACTAAAAAAAAATTTCAAAAGTGCTCTCTAAATATTAGTTGCATCCGTAAAATGTTAAAATGATTAATAAAATTGAGACATTCATAATTTGATTAAATCTGTTCTCAATTTTCACAACAGTATAATTACAAAAATCCGCTACTTTCTCATTTTTCTTTTTTTACTAACATCAGTTAATCTAAATTTAATTTACTAATTGAAATATTAGGTAAGATAAATCAGGATGGACTTGATTGCTGAAACAATCAAAATTAAATTTGTCGTTGAAAAAAAAATTTTTTTTATTGCAAAAACTTAGCGTTGTAAAAGAAAAGACAATGCAAACCGACTTTATTGTTACGTAATTTTTTGATACAAACTGTTTGCATTAAAATGAAAAAAATAAATAAACGAAAAAAAAAAAAATTTTTTTTTAATCAAAAAAAAAAGTTATAGGAATTGATAAAACGTTATAAACACTAATGGTGAGTTACTACATATTTTTGGGGAAAATGGCGTCGTGTTCCTATTTACAAACCATTAAAATTAAAAGGTCATTTTTTTCGGCGCTATAACTTTTTACATACATTTGTGGGTTGTTGTTACGAGTTCTGTCCTTACTTTGTTCAGTAATTGAAAGAAAAAAAAGTAATAAAAGAGGGGGAAAAAAGAGAATCGGCGCCATATAAGTGATTAACTTTTTTTTTTTTTATATACCTTTACAATCACTATATGTGCCATTTAGCATATGCTGTTTTGGAGAATTTTCTTTTTTATCTAACATCAGTGAGATAAAAATATGTGTGAACATATTTTTGTTGAAGTTTGATTGAAAAATGATTGATAATGAAAAAAACTGTGATACTATGATCAATTTCTGAGACAAATTTAAGAAGTTAAAAAAAAAAAAAAAGTTAAATAGATTAAGAAGTTGAATTCGCGTATTAAGAATGCGTATTGATTAACATATTTCATATATCGTCTTTTTTGTTTTGTCTTTTTTTTTTGAAAATTAAAATTTGATTAAAACTAAAAATTTCATTTTTAGTATAAAATGTTTTTTTTTTTTTGCATTAAGCTAGGTAATGCCATTTGAAAAATAGTTTAATTGGAAATGTAATGAAAGTCATTCTTTTAACTTAGTGTTTAATTTTAACTTCAACCTTATTATTCACAGATTAAATCTGAAAATCTTGAAAAATCATAAATTTAGCATCAAATATTTTGTTTGTTATTGCAAAACTTCAATCTGAAATTTTTGTGCAACAAAAAATGTTAAAAAAAAAATCTGCCAACCGCACCGTAAACAATGATTTGTGCAGGATCAGTAAAGCGTTTGTTAGCGATATTTCGTGCTTCACAAGTGTAATTACCGGAATCGGATAAGCGGGCAGCGGAAATGATCAGTGAACCATCATTTGCAATAATCATATTAGAATCAGATTGTCGCTCAATCTCTTTTCCATCTTTTATCCAAAATACCTATTCAAATTTAATATCAAATCAAGAAGAAAAATTTGATTATTCCTCTTTTTTCTCCTTTTTTTTCTGTATTATTAATTCAATTTTCCAATGAAAAAAAAAAAACACACAAATTAAATTACGACAAAAAATTTCAAACCAATCAATTAACATTGAAAACAAATAAACGAGTATAAAAAATGCAGAATCATTTGTCCGTTTTATTTTAATAATAAAAAGTTATTTTATCAAATTTTTTAATTGTTAAGAATAAAAAGCTTTCTCTTTGCAGTTAATAAATTAAATTGAAGCAAATTTTTGAATTTAAAATTTCAGAAAAACAAAATAAAAAACAGAAAAAGACCAATAATGAAGTTTATGTGAAATTTGCAAAGACTGGAATATTTATTATCATTAATAAATCATATTTTTTATCATTTTAACAAAGTAGCAATCTTTTGCTAATTATCAATTTTCAATTAAATTCTAACAATTGGTCATTAACTATGAGCAATAATCACTTCTATACGCTTACTTGACTAATTGAAAACTAATAAAAAATTCCCATAATAAATAATACTCCCATTTTTAAAATTTTTATTTATTTTAACAAATAGTAAACAAAATGAGAATGCATCAAAAGTTACAAGTATTGTTTTGGTAATGAAAGGATAAAAGATTGCATAAGAAAACTGAAATTTTAGAAATGAAAATCAATAATAGCTCTAAGTTAAATCAAATTTATTTCACTTTTAATCACATTCATTTATTCATTTCTTAGAACAAGGTTTAGTTTTTTCATCATTTTTTTCTCTTTTTAATATAAATTAATTACAGCTAAAATAAATCCTGAAAAAATTTTACCTGAACTTTAGGTTCACCTTCTGGTGGCGAGCAGTGCATATGTACAGTACCGCCTTCCGCTACATTTTCGGATACTGGTGTTTGATAGAAATGTTTCCGGATGTCTGCAATAATTTGAATTTTTGATAAATTGTAAAATTTTGAATTTTATGATCAATAAATTAATTTGAATAAAGTGAAAAATTATTCAATTTTCATTGAACAATTTAATCATTCATATTATTATCAACAATAATTTAAATGCTATTAGATAAGCAATGTAATTCGAGAACACAATTATAAAGTGTTTGTAAGTAATTAATTTCAACATTTCTAACAGCAGTTCATTAATGCATTTTATAGCTTTGCTCTAATGCTTTGTTATAAAAAATTAATTCTTCCATAACTTTTAATTACTTAAAAATATCTTTATTCTTTGCTGTGTCAGAAAAGAAAAAAAAATTATTCCCAAAAAGCATTTAGTCACATTGTAAGTGATGGCGGAAAATAATAAATTAAGATGTAAAGATAGAAATGTTTATCCTGTTTTGTCACCTATTTTGATCTAAAACCCTCTTAACTATTCTCATCTTTCATTACCACATATTTTTCTTTTTTGTTCCGGAAAACTAATAAATCATAAGAATCTTAGCTAAGATTTATTACAAAAAAAAAAAAGACTTCTAGCTAAATGATAAATTATAAATTGCATGGAATAACTTTCACCTAAAACAATACGTAGCAACTAATCATACTAGAGGTAATGAAAATATCAGCTCATATTATGAAATTGTTATAAAAATATCTACTCATATTATACTAGAAGAAATAAAAAAACAAGAAGGAATTTTGACCTAATTAATTAGGTCAAAATTATCCTTAACTTATCTTTATTATTTTAGCTTATCCTTATTATTTAAATTTGCTTTAATTAATGTTTTATCTTTATTGAATTATTATTTTTTAATTAAAACAATCTTTGTTTATATCACCAATTCATTCATCCATTTATTTTTTTTATCTCAATTCCATTTGAAAAAAAAACACAAAATATTCTGACACTTAAAAATCCGTTTCATTTTTGGAAAATTTTTTCTTTTTCTTTCACATATATTAACATATATGCAAATGATTTATTTTGCAAATTATATAAGCTATCATAATATGTGATAAATTTTCTGTGAGAGAAAAAAAATAAACTGTCTTTATAATTTTCATCTAATTTGATAAAATTTTAATGGTAATTATTCGACACATGTAAATTAATTAGTTACTTAATAGCTATTTATTGATTGACAATTAATAATAACAGTAGTAGTAGTAGTAGGATATTACTATTACTATTTATTATTTTTAGTAATAGTAATTTATCTTACTTCAAAATGAGTCTGGATGAGTCATTGGTAATGAAGTGATGTTCGCATGAAATACGACATAGTATGCATGTTTAGATCGGATAAACTGATTGCTCATTTCATTAAATACCAAGTTATACGGTACCATAGCTATGAACCTTCTTCTTTCACATTTGGGTATTATTTAAAATAATCCATTCAGTTTCAATTATGCACCAATTTTTGCTTTTCAAAAAATTTTTCAAAGAATAATAAATAATAATTACAATAGCAATTATTATCCTAATTAGATAAATAATAATTGTTATCATAATTATTATTTATCTAATGGAGTAATTTTTATCACCGCTAACTAGCTAATAAGTAGCTAATAAATATAAAATTCCACATTTTACAATTTCCTAAATTAATTAGCAATGACAAGAAATTTAAAACGATATATACTTTTTTAAATATGTAATATGAGTTTATATGTTCAGAAATTTTCTATTCTAATTCTGATATTTTACAATCCAGATATTGATAATGTTAAATAGCGACTACATTTAACTGTTGTTATATAAAATAAAAATGGACAGAGAGGAAAAAAACAATTAATATTAAAATCGTTATTGAAATTATTCATATATTCCAATTATTTTTTGAGCTTTTTGAGATCAAAAAAATATTTGGATGATTTCTATAGCCTATTAATAATTTTTGTTGAGAATTAAACTGGAATATTTTACTCCACAATTATTGTAAATATACTAGAAATCTATATTATTGTTTGTCCTTTCTTAAATCGAATTTTTTTTTTTTTTAAAATATATATAGTTCATAATCAATAAAATGAGAATATTATAAGCTATTCTTAATAAAATATTAATCTAATCTTTTTTTTAAATGATTAAAAGAAATTGCTATATCAAGTTAATTACTATTTTACACTATTGAAATATAATTATTAGTTATTTCCTATGCAATGTCCCATATTGTCATCTTTTTTAGAAAAATGCTGGCAGCTGTCATCTTTTCGATTTTCTTTCATTTTGTAACTATGAACAATTCGTGTTCAATACAATTGTGCTATGAATAGTTGATATTTGTAGAAAATGTGTCTGAATGATTGATTAATCTTTCAATTAGAAAAACGCAAATTTTTTTTTAAAAAAAAAAAGAAAAGAGAAAAAGTGAAGCAGAAAACGTTACTGAAATATTGTTGGTAAAAAAGATAAAAATAAAAAAATGTTATACTATTTGTAGAAAGACCAAAGCATAATAAAATAATGAAATATATATATGAATTTAAAAAAAAATCGATGTTTAATAGATTAGAAAAGTTAGAAGTAGTATAATTGCTATTATTATTAATATATTCATTTCAATGCATCCATTTACTTTTTCTAAAAATCTAAAAGAAAAAAAAAAAACTCCCCAACTTTCAATTTACAAATTCATCATTCAAGAATGATACCTTGATTAGTGGCATTTTGTTTGTGATACTAAAAGAGCAATCATGCTTGTTAGCACCTTAAAACTTATGATAGTTTATTAAAATTATATTCCTCTATTCGTTTGTAATGCATTTAATAATTAGATGGTGTTAACCTAAATTTTACGAAGCAATATCAGCTCAAGAAAATAGTTCAATGAATTAATTTGAATTTCAAATTTCATACGTTAGTTTATTCAATACATTCAGAAAACATAAAACATCAATTTCGTGCTTCTTTTTCTCTCCTCCCAATTTAAACAATTTAAAATTTTAATTGAATAAAGAAATGAAATGAATTTCATCCTTATGAAATCGGAATTTCTGCTACACAAACTAAATTTTACTTTATAAAAATAATTTTTTTACTGCAGAAATATGACTAAAGCATTTTTATGAGTTCAGACTTTTTCTCGTTCCTTTCACTTGAATAGGAGAGAGGAATTAAAAAAAAGGAAAAAGAAAAGTCATTTATCGTTTTTTTCTCTCTTTGGTTAAGAATACTGAGAGGAAGAGACAGAGAGAGGGGAAGAGAAATGAAAAGGGAGAGAGAGAAAAAAAAAGGATGGAAATTGTTTGAATTCTATACACAATAATGATAGAGAATAAAGGGATGGTAACATTCAAGAATAAATGATACGGGAAAATAAGCCTTTGTATAATGTATGTTCACAAAAATTAGGGAATTAGCTTTTCTTTTATTCAAACTAAACCATTAGGGAGGCTTAAGAATAATGTTAATGAGTGGAAGTATTTTGGTTCATAAATATCTATAATGATGGGGAAAAGATTTGTTGACCATAATGATGGGTAGAACACTTGGTGATGATGATGATGATGATGATGATGATAATGATGATGAAAATCTCAATGAAAAAGTGGCATTTATAAAATTGAAATTATTTATTTGATTCTTTTTAAATAAATAGGACAGAGACAGAGAGAAAGAAAAAAATGGAAAAATGAGAGATAAATAGATGAATTTTTTTAAGAAATAAAAATATATATTTTTATTTAAATACATGAATTACTGGTATAGATATACTTAATTTTTAAATTTTCTATGAATTCCGTATAATATAAATATTTAAAAATTTCTTAAAATAGTAACATATAATGTTGCGATTATTTTACGTGGCATATTTAAAACATCAAGCGCACCACGTAAACCATATGCGTGCATGTGTATGTATATGTGATATGCTTTAGCAATGGCTAGTTAGCGTAAAACGGGATTGAGATGAGGATAAAAGAGAAATGTCACAATTCAAAATTTGTTACTCTCATGAGACATGTCACCGACATCAATTCATGTGTCCCATCTTCTTCTGCCTTTATTTATCTTCTCGTCTTCTTTCACTCTTTTACAAATAATTCTCATGTTTAATCATTTAACATTTGCAAAGCTTCAATGATTTTACTACCTATTTTAGAGCTTCCGCTACAAATGATCAGTTGGTAAAGTTAGTGAATTGATTTAGATGGCTTATTCTGACTGATTGAACCGGTCAATTAGCCGTTTTAATCAGGCAATCAGCTATACAGCAATGATTGCCGTTTGCATTTCTGATTATGTTAAGTACACTTCATACTGTCCACTTCAAAATGTTGCTAAATAACGCTAATTGCACGCTCAATTACCATATACTTTAATAGCAGATTTATAAAAATTTTTCAATTAAATACTACAAATATGCAAGCGTAACATATAAATCAATGAAGTGATATAATTAGCTTAACATAAATACTTTCTTCCAATCATAAAGCTGACATTCTTTTCAATCTTTCAATTTAAAACTGAAATCATTTAACCATTACATTACTACCCATTTCATGTCAAAACTTATGACAATAAAATCAAGGATTTTTTTTTCTAAAAAAAGGAAGCAAAAGTGCAACTATTAGTTGAAGCTTTTCCTTTCTCTCCTCTCTTTTCTCTCTTCATAAATGATTTTATTTTTCATTGCTTTGAAGTATTAATTAATTAAAATGTAATAAAAGACTATTATATTAATATCGTAAATGAAAACAACCATGTTTTGAAGCATTAATTAATTAAAATTAAATAAAAGACTACTATATTAATATTGTAAATGAAGATACCTTTCCACAGGTATGATGACAGCTGGAAAATGAAATAAACAAGGGTGAATAATGAATAATGGTTACTAACTAATGCTTAATTGAGCATTGATAATGCATCTTATCCATGAAAACTAATAATCCAAAAATTATTATATACCGTATATCATTTGTTATTATCCAAAACTTTTCAATTATTTTTTTTTTTAGGGGTCATACAAATTTTCAAAGATTTAAAACTCAACATTTGCTTAAATATTTCCGTTTAGTTAGAAGAAATTACAACAACAACAAAAAAAAAAAAAAAAAGAAAAAAAAAACGCAAACAAATTTTCGATACGATTTGATAATTGGACAATTATTATCAAAAATGTGGAAAAGAGAGAGAAAAATTTTATCAGTTTGTAAGAAAAGATATTTTTCCATTTTTGTTTTTGTTTTCTTTTTTCTCGGCATTTCATTCATTGCATATAAAACATCAAAAAATAAAAATAAAAAAAAGAAGAAAAGCTATTGCGCAAAATTATCTGTTAAATACGATAATAGTATATGATGGGATATTTTTATCTGTTTTTTTTGCATTGAAATTTGATTTAAATTAAAATTCTTCTAAAAGTGTAAAAAAATTTCAATGTTGAAAAAATTTTTCGGAATAAGATTAAAATATGAAAATTTGTTAAAAAAAATGGCAAAGAAAAAGAAGTAATGAATGAATTTATTTAGTCGAATAAAGAGAAAAAAAAAAAAAAACAAAAAATACTACCGTAATAGTAGTAATAGTAAAAGGAATAATTAAATGCAACCCTCATTTAATTTATGAAATTTAATTAATTTCATTATAATGCTATAATTGATGATGATAAAAGAATTTGCATCATTTATCACAAATTTCAAATTAATCTACATTTTCCTGAAAAGCTTTAGTGAAAATCAATTAAAGCAATAGCCTAATATACTAGTAATGATAAATAAAAAGTGGATGGAGTGATCACTTACATGCAATACGAACATGCGCTGATTCGGAACGAACCACCTGTACGTCAGAATCAGTGGAAGCATAACATTGGCACGTGAAATCGCCAGGATGAATATTTAATTCTTGACGATCAATTTCAACAGTTGCCTTATAGAAAGGTAAATGAGTTGCAGTATCTGTTCCTTGTGACATATTATGACGTGAATCATCTAGCTAAACGTAAAAGTTCAATTTCAAATAATTCCAATGAAGTAATTTAATTACATAAAGCTAATTAAATTAATTGGTTTTCTTTTTTTTTCCTTTTTTGTTGCAAATGACATGTTTACTAAAGGTAAATAATGTTATGCTATGCCATTTAAAATTTTCGCAACGTTTAAATTTTTCTTTTTCTTTTAATTGTATGTAAACGAAGAAAATCATCAAAAAAATTAGTGTAAACTTAGGTATATACTGAATGATTGTTTATTTTTATAAATTATGTGTAATAACATACCCATCGTCCATTACATTTGAAACGTATTCGTCTAGCATTAACAGCTCGACATGTCAATGTCGCATTCCGTGATCGTGTTATATACGTTGATTGTGGTGATTCAATTAATGCTATTTCATCCATTACTTTAAAAGAAATTGCAAACAATTTTAATTTTTTCTAGATTTTTTATTACCTTATAAAATATTTTGTATCATTTTTGAAAAGTTTCATCTCACTAAAAAAAAAGGAAAATAAAGTATTATTTGTTTAGATAAAATCTAACTATTAAATTAACGGAACATGATAATGAAAAAAAAAAAAAAAAAAGAAATGACAAAAATGATGAATAAAAAAAGAAAAAGATAATGATAAAACAAGTATAATGTGCGATTATATAGTAACTAAAAAAACTATTCGATGTATATCATAAAAGTCAATAAGTAAACAAAATAAAATAAAAAGAGAGAAATTAGTTGGTCGAAGCAAATGGTACTTAGCAAAGGGCATAAAAATGAAACAGTTGAAACAGTCTTCTGGCGGAAAGTGTGAAGGATTGTCGCATTCGGCAATTCGGCAACTGCTTTTTCTGTCTTTTCTGATAGTACCGCTTGTGCTTACTGAATGCCACTATCGTTTTTGGTTTTGGTTTTAATATCAAAAGGCAAAAATCGGTTTTTCTTTGAGTTGAGGCAAAAACCAAAATTTGCCGCAAAGGGATAGAAGAATGTAGAGAGGAAGAGAAGGAGAAGGAGAAAGAACAAAGGGAAAAAAAGAGCGAAAAAAAAGGAAGAATAATTGAGAATAGAATTGAATTAGGATAATCTGTTAAAATAAAATGGCAAATTTATGCATGAATTAAAAGTAAAATTGTTTTTATCAACCAATTAATGATAATATCATTAATAACAATGATATTTCATAATAATGATAATTCTATATGATAATTGGCAACAAGAATTATTTATAATTTTCTACATAGTAAGAAAGGTGACCGTAATTACGTCTCCCTTTCACGCACTCATCAATTTAGATGAAACGTGTATGAAAGAAACAACTCAATCAATATAGAAAGCAATATTAGGAAATGATTCCTCTGCTGTCATACCATTTCGTTTTGGATGAGTAACTGAAATTCATAGATACCCGATCCGACGTATATCATCAATATTATTTCCGCTCAAATATTTACATATTTATGACAACAATTGATGCCTATAATCTAATCGCATAGTGGTTATTTTACTACTAAAAAATTTACCAAATTTTCATGCTTCTTTTTTTTCTTGATGCTCTTGAAAAATTTTTGAAATAATAGAAGCGACACATAAACAAGACAAAAATTAAATGCTAAACATTCATAAATACATAAATCTTTGAGCGGAAATAATACTAATGATATTTAGAAAGTGTAAATAAGTGTGTATGTAGAAATGACTGAAACATGAAATAAAATACAAATGAGTAATTTTTAGATATGCAAAGATATTGATGAAAATGCTATAACATTTTGATGGGTCATCAAGTTCCTCAGAAATAAGTGATCATGCATTCATTTCATTGAGCTCTCATTTTAAATTGCTCAATTCAATGTTAATTTGGTGATTACTAATTTCGAGTCAATTAATCTTTGATTTTAAACTTGATTCGACATATCAGAATTTCATTTTCGATTAATTCGGAATGTCTCGAAAGTACAATTTCAATTATGTTCAGCTATTATACTAGCAACACACTTATAAAATGTCAATAATGAATTTCGTGATTTTCAAGAATTTCAAAACAAAAACATAAATGTCGTAATTTGAATTTAAAAACTCAATTGAATAAATATGATATGCCCAAAAATAAGACCACAACAGGAAGCAGATGTAAAATAATATGCCTTTGCTATTATAGTTGGTCAACTACACTTATTTATTTTAATGAATTATCGGACAATGAAACGATTATGTACGCAAAGATTGCCGTAAAAAAAAAAAAAAAAAAAAAAAAAAGAATCGTGACAAAAACACTCGAACCGGAAGTGATATAAGAATTTTAGCGCAACACTGATTTTATTAGTATGAATTTTCAACTTTATATAATTTGATTAAAAGTTTTTTTATAACCTAATTCAACGTGTTTTTTCCCTAATAATTAATTTTACTTCAAATTTGAATTTCCGGTTTTACTGCAAAAAAAATGAATAAATAGTTAAATTATATTCATTTAAAATTAGATTTGTCTCATATTTCACAAATAATATCTAAAATGAATTAAATTTTAAAAATTTAAAAACTTAAATCAATTATTTTTTTGCTCTTTTCTCTTTTTTTTTTTTTGTTTGTGTGTGTATTTATGACTCAAATATGATTACTAAATAAAACAAATAAAAAAAGTAAAAGGATTTATATTTTATTTGGCTGTTTTTAATTCAAATACATGAAAATTTTTTGAAAGACTGAATATGAGAAAAAAAATAATAGACATAATAAAGTCTAAAGTGTATAACTATTTGGCTTGGCTTCTTCTTGATAAAGATAAGGCAACAGGTTAACAGAGAGGGAGAAGATAGCTGGAAGAAGAAAAGAGAGGAAAAGTAATGAGTTAAACAAAAATCAGCAATAATTTGATGGGAAGTAGACGTAATTTTAGCAATTAAAATGAATAAAATAAAAAATGAAATTTTAAAGTGTGATGTTATATGCTTCAATGATTGTTCTTTTATTTAGTTCAAAAAATGATCCATAAAATTGACTGAGATAAAGTTTTGAAGTGAGAAAATTATGCAAAAAAATTTTTTTTTGCTCTCTTTTATATTGATGTTTCATTCGACTAAATTATATATAACATTCAGTCATTAAATCAAAAACTTCTAATAGCCATGATTCCACTTTTCTTCTAAAATTAAATTTCAAAAATATTTTTTGGCATATTTTATTCTCTTCAAATTAAAGAAAATCAATTACAGTAATAGTGTAATACGAGTAATAATGAAATTTTTTTCCCCAATTCTAACACTGAATTTTATTTATGTATTTATTTATTATCTTTTTTGGAAATTTACCACAGGAAATATTTCCGTTCTATAATAATTATAATTAGTTATCATGTTATTACTAGTAATGTTGGTTAAAAATATAGTCGAAATGACGAAGTTATATTCAACATTCATTTGATAAATTCTCGTCATCTCGTACATAAAAGATACTACTAACAACTGATCATTAGTCGAGATTATATCTTAAGAAGTGACATATATATCACAATTTCACCAATCAAACTGTTTAGACAAATATTTAAATTTTCAAAATTTATTTCGCATTGAATTTAGAGAATAAAATTTTATGTGATTTCACATAATTAATATTCATGAATTTGATAGAACAAATAATAAATCATTTTTTTTTTTCCAGTGAAGGTATAGTAATTTTAAGTTAATGAGCTTGAAATGTCAAAGTAAACAGAAGAAATGATAAAAGAATGACCAATTATGGACAATATAGAATGGACGATAGAAATGAGTCGTCTTCTATAATCCTAACTATGTCATTTGCTTTGCTATATTTTTATAAATTATCTCAAACAATCACATTTCATGACTCATCCTCAACGTTAACATTATTCCCATTTCATTTCTTTGTTATACTAATCTGTCTGTACGGTAGTATTTGAAAAGTAGAACTAAGCTATAAGAAGCGATCTTCCTTTCTTTTTTTTCCTTTCCTTTTCGTTTTTTTTGGCATATTTTATTCTCTTCAAATTAAAGAAAATCAATTACAGTGATAGTGTAATATGGCAATTAGAGTAATAATGAAATTTCCCTTTTCGTTTTTCTTATATTAAGTAAAACTTCTAAATAAAGATGAAAAAAGAGAAAAAAGATTTAAAGCATTTCGTCAGAAAATTTGCTTCAAGTTATCAAAAAGCTTTCTTAAGAAAAGATAATTTTGAGAAATTAAATTCAATTCATTAAATTGAATTTTAAAGAAGTAATTTTATAAGGAAAAGAAGAAATATGAATTTCTTAACTAATTCTAAGGTAAATTAGAATATGCACCTGGGAATCGATAATGAATGGTTAATGTAAAGATTTGAACCATTGCCATTTGCAAATTAAGAGAAATCTTTTCGTACGAATGATTAAAAAGAAAGAATTAGAATTGATTGATTAATTAATTTACTAAAATATTGTTTTGTATGAATCTCTGAATTAAATTTGTAATTGGAAAATATTGGAAAGAAAATTTGCGGTGAAAAAATGAAAGCGAAGGAATGAAGATTTATCTCTTACCTTACAAAAATGAAATACGGTTAATTTTATTATTCATTCTGCAAGCATGACAAGTGTTTTCATAAATTTCATAAACTTCATTTCAATTATTCATTTTTAGATCAGATCTTAATGATCTATTTCTTAACTTTCAGCATAATGTCGAATCCTACCTTGTATAAAGTTAAGTTATGGCAAAAATAGTATCATATTGCATAAACAATTTGCTAATAAAATTGTGCTTTATTAATTTAAAATCCAAAAGAAATTAACAAAAAACTCAGTATGAGCTAATTAACCAATATATTACTAAAAATCGAATTCATAAAAAGTTTGGAATTAAAAATACAGATAATTTATAAAAATAGTGGCAGAAATAAAGCAATGCTACGTTCGCTGACTGGTAATAATAATTTTAATAAAAAAAGATTAATTACTAGATTTTAATTATTTAAATAATAGACTTTTAAAAGAAGCTATAAAGCAGGAAGTGTAAAAAAAATCGTTCTGCAACAATTACCACATATCGTAATTTGCAAAAATTTTTAAACAAAACAATACACAAATATTTATGAGTAAGCAAAATGGATTATTTAACGATATTAGCATGCAGCATACAACATGCAATAGTGCATGCAAATGAATAAATATGAAGTGTATAATAGCAAATGATCAGACACTCTCGATGATTATAAATGACAGTAAGAATGATGTTTACATGTGTGTATAACCGTGTAGTATATATATATATATATATGTATATATGTGTGTGGCACTAGCTTCTACCGTGAGATTTGAAATACTAATTCAAAATGAGCATGCATTTGATCAACAGAGGACAAAATGCACGTGGATAAGGGGAAAGGGGAAAGAAGGACGGGGGAGAGGT